CACAGAGGAACTGGCTTAGGAGGTTTTGGATAACACTGCTCCGTCCGAGTCTGGTTGTTGCATGAACAAAGGTTGCAATTGGACACCCACACCTCACCAGGCTGGAAGAGGGATACAAAATATTTCTAAATCCACGTATAGTCCATCATAGATGAGTTGTTTTGTTTTTTTAAACAGGTTTAAATTTTAAACTGGTAAAAGAGACTTACAAATTTGGGTTCTCCGCTTGGTCCTTTGCAATCTGTAGGAGAAAACAAAATCAAAGGAACTCACTTGACTCACTTAATTTCATGTCTAAGAATTTAAACAAAGATCTCGACGTCATTATTGCCAATGTAGATGATTACTCACAGGCACAATCAGACACACAGAAATCTGAGTGAGGTCCACCTCTAGACAGGTTGTTGGGACAGAAACAACCTGCAATGCTCTTTTCAAGGGAAGCTCCGGGATAACGGACTCTGAACACCCAAACCAGAGAAAATATCTAAATAGTGAATATCTAGACAACCTGCACTGGATTGTGTAAGATGTGAAAGACAAGTATAAGAACATTCATTAGCTAAAAGTCAGGGTTTTTTTACCCTCCATGACAGAAGTCATCCTTGTTTTTCTGACATTCTCTATAGACCAGCCCAGACGGACACGACATATCTGCAATGTGATCGAGGTCAATGAAGTTAGTAAGGTAACTGGAAGAATTTATCTAACACCTTTAATTGCTTGTTTCATGGCTTTACTGTACCAACTGTAAAACAAGAAAAGCTGCATACCACAGGCTCCATTAGTCAGTCCTCTCCAGGGAATACAGAAACCTGCATTTTTACATTCTTCTGCAGCTTGCGCTAAGATATTGCAAGAACCGTTTGAATTCAGGCAACAGTCAAGTTCGCAGTTCTTCTTCTGAAGGCTTAGATTCACATACTTGCTGCAATTTTCAAACACTCTGAAAAAAAAAACAGAATTGTATATTTTAAGCCAATCTTACCATAATATCTTTTTCTTGTCGTTGTTATTGCTGTTTGTTTGTTTTTCTTATCATTTATTACACAAATTCCCTGACCAGGAATGCATGTTAGTGTTTGGAGCTTACGGGTGGAGTAGCAGATTACATAATGGGCTTGGAGGGCAGGTGGTAGTAGGAAGTGGTGTATTAGTGGGTGCAGGAGTTGGCACAGAATAACAGGGGATGTCCTTTGGTTGAGAAATACAGGCTGGCTTCAGAGGATCGTCATACACCCAGTCATAGGCGGTTTTATCACAGCAACTGTCATTCTCCATCTGCTGTCCTTTACGGATACATGATGCTCCACCACATACACCGCAAAGTCCTTGGGTGTTGTTGACAAAATGCTCCATGGCCAGGTTCACCACCAGTGTGTAATACGGAGTGAGGGAGACAAAGGAGCGTAGTCCTGGGAGATGGATGAGCACTTTGTAGCCCCTGGCCTCAAACCTCAACCCATGCTTCTCATATGGTGGCTGTATGATCACATTGTTCATAGTAGCCTAAAGAAGAAGGATCGGTACCAAAATGTTGTTATAGTTACTGTATACAAAAATATACTGTAGGTTTAAATAAAAACAATTTTGAAGTAAAAGTATAATTACTATAATTAAAGTATAATTATCATGTAAGGACTCGTGGTATCACCCAGAGGGAAAAAAATAGTTTTATATCCTACCTGTACTGCAAACAATTGGGGTATGATACGCAGTGTGGCTATATTGTTCTGATATCTCAGGATGATAGTTCTAGCACAGGAGCCATTGGTGCCTGGCAGACAGTAGTTGTCCACAGCAATAGTGAGATTATGCCGTAGTGACTGCTCTTCAGCCAGGATGTAAGAGCATTCATCCAGGAAATCAAATGTTACTCCTTGAAAAGAGATGTAGTGGTTTTCTCCATACAGCTCACAGTTACCTGGGAATGGTACAGCAAAGCATAAGAAATTATTTTATAAGATACTGGAGGAACACATTTATAAAACCAGAATTTGAAATAGGATAGCTTTTCTGGTCATGTCACTGCTTCCTATGCACTGTCACAAAATTTCCACAGGATACATTTTAACTGCTAGTTGTGGCAAAAGCTTAAGAGCTGAAGTCACAATTACGATAAGACCTACGTCAACTCCCTAGATGTCAAAGGTTTTTCAGTGATTTCTTTGTGTAATAATTTTCCAAGTGATTCATTGATCTATCCTATAATGCAGGGGTCGGCAACCTTTCTGATGATGAGTGCCATCTAAAATTTCCTCAGAAGTCAATGTGCCATATGATTGCCTTAGCAATAAATTTAATAACGCTCTGTATAATAATAATAATAATAATAATAATAATAATAATAATAATAATTGTTATTTATAAAGCGCCTTTTAAGACACCCAAGGACACTGTACAATAGATAAAACACATAACAGAACAATGACACAATGAAGAACAATAAAACAAAAGCACAAGATAAAATTAACAAACAGTGGGTTCACGGTGAATATGCAGATTTGAATAGATGGGTTTTGAGTTGAGATATTTAAACTGAGGAAGAGAACCAATGTTTCTTATATCTAGGGGTAGACAGTTCCACAGCCTGGGAGCAGAGCAGCTAAAAGCTCTGCTACCCATGGTGGTGAGGCGGAAGGAAGGCACAGAAAGCTGGATCGAAGAAGTAGATCGAAGAAGTAGATCGAAGAAGTAGATCGACGTGAGCGGGCAGAAAAGGTAGTGCTTAACAGGTCAGAAAGGTAAGGAGGTGCAAGGTTATGAATTGCCTTGAAGGTGAGCAGAAGAAGTTTGTATATTGTCCGGAATTTCACTGGGAGCCAGTAAAGTTCCTGAAGAACAGGGGTGATGTGCTGGTAAGAAATAGATAGAACGGGTGAGATTATTGATGTGAGATTTATAGGAAAGCGAACTGTCTAGGATGACACCAAGCTCTTAACTTGAGGAGAAGGGAAAACTGTGGAGTTATCAATATTGAGTGAGAAATGGTTCACCTTCAAAAGGTTGGATTTGGTGCCAACAAGGAGGATTACAGTTTTATCCTCATTGAGCTTTAGAAAATTAGAGCAAAACAACAATTTTAAATCGGATAGACATTCTGTAAGGGAAGAAGGTGGGAGGGAGGAATCAGGTCTGCAGGAGAGATATAACTGGGTGTCATCAG